TTCATTACATATCGCTTATACAGCACTACTAATAGACCTCGAGCACATAACGGCCATCCTCCTTGAGTCTATCGATCTCCTTCGTGGGATCAATCTTACGACTGCTCATCTTGGCTTCGGCGGCAATAGCTTCTTTCAACACATCCGTGACATCCGGTACCGGCCACGTGGGACCGCAGAGATAGAACGAACCCTCCTTCTTGATGTACGCGCCTACGATGTCGTTCATTGTCTGGCGCATGCGGTCCTGGATGTAAATCTTCTGGGGCTGATCACGCGAGAAAGCGGCACCCAGGAGCGTAATGACGCCAGCATCGAGGTACGCCTCCCATTCCTCGCCGTAAAGGTATTCTTCACGTTGGTGGCGCGATCCAAGGTACAGCAAGATGGCACCGATCTCTTTCCCCTGCGCTTTCTGCATCGCGCGGTACTGGACGAAGGCACGGAAGGGGGCCAGACCGGTGCCTAGGCCAGCCATAATGAGGGGCGCGTCGTCGCGGATGGGTAGCTTCATGACCGAAGGCTTCACGGAAACGGTCACGGAAGCGCCGACGGGCAAGCCGCTTAAGTAACGTGTAGCTTGTCCGTAACGAGTCCTTCCCTTTGTATCAACCCAATCGACAACAACGATCATGAGAGCAACGGCGTTGGGCGAGACTGCTTGCGCGGATGCGATCGAGTACTCACGACGCTTCAGAGGACCGACCAACCGGACAAGCTCTGGGAAGCTAGGACGGGCGGACTTGAACTCTTCTAGGATATCCGCAAAAGTAATTGTGTCGACCTCTGAGCGGCGCTTGAATTCCTCAGCACCCTCCTGGGCACCGAGAGAAGCCAGCTTCTTCTTCTCCAGGTCGTCGGTAGCATGCTCAGCCAATTGCTCGTAAAATCGCTTCGGTGGCTTTCCGAAAATGTCAATACCCTGAGTTAACGTCTGGTAGACTGTTCGGGTCTCGACTACGGCCGGGCTCTCGCGGGAAGGTACTTGTATGAGTGCACTTGCGTCCAGACCATACGATTCAATGAACTCGAGAACCAAGTCAGGGTCATTCTCGGCGTGGATGCCAAGAGCCTCCCCAATCTTGTAAGAAAGACCAGAGTTGCCCAGATCAAACTCAATATGGAAGATGTTTCGATCGTATGTGGTAGGTGTGAGCCGGCGGTTTTCTTTGACGTGGACGGTGAAGGTCTTGACTGACTGGTCAGGCCGGAGGTCGATGTTGGTGGAGTAGGCTTCTTTGAAGACAAGGCCCTTGGCGGCGGCCTCCCAGGTACTGAGCTGGAGTTCCGGCTCAGCTTCTTCCTTGACGAATGGGACGAAGCTATTAGCCTTTAGAGTCTTTGCTTCGGTTGGGGCTTCGCTCAAAGCTTCCGTCCAGGACTCGGGAACCTCGATCTGCTTTAGACACTTCCCAACGGCGTCAATGCACTCTTCTACTTTGATCTGATTACCCTCTGATTCAGATAGCTTCTGGAGATCCTCCTGGCTCATATCTGGTTTCGCGAGTTGAAGGAAGCTGAGTTCAATCAATAACCGAGTGACCTCATTATCAGCTTCAAAAGCAGGCGAGAGTGCGGTGTCCAAAACGTGAAGAGCAAGATTCCTCTTCTGGATGTCTCGGCGGACAGATTCGGGGATTCTCTTCTCAGCCTCCTCGTCCTTGAAGTTGGGTAGCCGGAGGAGCAGCTTTCCCCCGTCCTTGACGCTTTGTGAGACGGCAAAGTCCTTCAGGAGCTTCTCATTACCAACAACCACGAGATTAGCTTCTTCGGCTGGGTAGGGAGCATCAATTGTCTTCTGTGACGACCGTAGATCTGTTCGTACAACACCACCTTGCACAAGGTTGTCATATGACTCGCCTAGGTAGATATTGCTGTTGGAATCCTGAGAGAGAAAATTGCCCACAACAGTTGGAGCAAGAAGTGCCGTCGAATCGTCGGTGTCCCAGAATATGTATTGTTCGACGGTGTCCAACTCAGGTAGACAGACCTTTGACTCGGTCGTCGTTTTACCTGTGGCCTGGGAAATAATTGAAGCAATACCCGAGGGGGTCAAGACTTGCGAGGCAGCGTACTTGACATCGACTACCGCTGGCGTTGTTACCCACTTGGAGGAGAAAGCAACGGCGGTCAAGATGTCTGAATACAAGGCCGACTGAATAGAGCCGTCTGAAACAGCAGCGTCGTTGGCCACCTGGCCCAAGACATCGATTCTCTGCACTGAAGCTGGCAGAATTTTAATGAAAGCTTCTTCAATGAACGGGCGGTAGACCCGGACACTGACAACTCCAACTTTAGCGCCGTCAACTGCAAGTTTAGAAATAACCTGCTTAGCAAGCTGGGCCTCCACGCTGCCAAAAACGACGTAGACGGCATCAGGCGACTCGTGACCGACATACTCAAAAGGTTCATATTCTGTACCTAGTTCGCTATTGAAGGCTTGGAGAAGCTCAAAAATCTTACCAGCGTTATCGAGGCGTGTGTTGAGGCTGTCGACAGACTGGGACAACTTGTTGAAGATCTCAGCAACACCCGTTTGGCTGAGGGCATCGATAACTCGCAGCGTCTCGCGGGATGTACGGATACCATCATAGACGTGTAGTGTAGGGACAATCTTGGCCATCAACGTAGCAAGCAGGGACATGTGCTGAGACTCGTAGGCAGATGCGCTTGACACCAAAGCCAAACCAAGCTCTTCAGCTATCTGCAGGGTGCTGCCATATTCGGCAACAAGGCCACTATCTGAGGTATAGTCTACGGCAGCCACGTGTGCGACGAAAGGGCTAGCGACTCCGTAGAGTAGAGAGAGTTGGTCCAAGGCGGATCGCAAGTGGCGCAGGCTCAGCGAGGGCGCCAACAGAGTCTGTGGAACGTGGCGTTTACTGAGATCAAAGTCCTTGGAGAAGATGTAGCCCAGTGCAAAGGCACCAGCGCCAGTGCGAGTCTGGAGCGGTTGAACGGCGGTTGTATAGCCGTGAATATTTTTCTCTTCACGGGAAGCCCAGTCTTTTACGGCGATGTCCAAATCGAAGGTCTCGGGGGAATAGGAGAAGATCTTGTCGGACAAAGCATAGGCAACCTGCTGCACGAGCAACTGGCCGGTGACATAGGTAGGGCCAGATATCGAGGACAGAGGGACAGCTTGGCCGAATGGTAGGCTTGCGGACTTCTTGGTAAATTCGGCACGTTTCGTCTGGGATTCCAATACCGTAACCTGGCCAGCGAGTTCGGGTTGACTCGATGCCATCTTGGTTACTTGTTGTACCGTGCTTGATATTTCAGTGCCAGGGGAATCTAACTGAACCAACGGAACCCGGCAGCCAATTTCAGTACACCTAGAGCAGTGTAATGGAATGAAACTGTTCCCTTAGATACGTCGGTCTATAATCACAATAAACAAAATATGACTACAAAACTAACCGCTTGAAAGCAGCAGCTTCGAGCAGGACACAACAGAACTAATAAGACAAACTCCTAAACTGCACACTATTAGATCAGAAAAAAAAACCTAAAAATATGTACCCTTTCCTCCCATTACCCACTACTACTCCAGATGATAGGCCCCAGACGTTAACGGCGGCCATTGTGTTATTTGCATACTGCGATGGCGCAAGAGACGCCAGCGTCGGCAGCGGGTGTCGGTGGGCATTGGGAGTATCCGCTCGGGCGGGTTGGCGATGCGGCCATACGGAATTTAGCATGTGGCAGAGGCTGAAAACTGCAGCGCGGCGAATCCATGTTTCGCATTTCGCACTGAAAGGCGATGATCACGCAATGCGCCGCTACGCCTGATCCGGTTAGACTCCAGCGTAGCATCTTGAATTCGAACCATCGTGGCCGAATCCGCGAATCACAATTTACCACGGCGGCTTGCTGCATTTCCTCATCGGGATCTAGATTCACCCCACTTTACTATTTGCCGCTCTGCTGATCGTAGTTAGTCTCCGACGTATCTCCGTTTCATCCAGGTTCCAGAATCATTCATCCCTATCACCAAAACCCTTCGAATAGGAATTCAGATGGAAAGTTCTTTGAGCTACGTCGAACCGAAACATCAGAGTTACAAATTAACAGCTTTGCTCTCTGTGCTATTTGCTTAAAACATGAAGTACGAATTTCATACTGCTGACTACTGTAAATGAGGAAACTCTATGCACCCGGAGACGGGGTTCTGACAACCAAGGGAATAAAATGAGAATGAGAAAGACGAGATCAAACGAAACGCAATGTATTCATAGTCACCTCAAATATCATGAAATCGCAAGGCTATAGGTCGTTTGACAGATTTAGCAAGTATACGTCCATACTTACCGCTTGATTCCACCACTAGATACCTGTAATCATGTTCAAAGCTAGACATGTTCTAAGTCGAGAGCTTGTCTGAAAAGGTGCGATCTATTATTATACGCTTCAGAATTTAACGAGTAGCGAAAGTTGCTAAACTATCACAAATCCCTATAGGAACAGCTAGAGACTATCAACTCTTCGAGCTAAATAGCGGCTTTCTCCCTTGTGCAGTGACAATAGTCAATGATATATATAATAGTGCGAAGGGTGACATAAAGGTGAAGATTTGTTGAGCAACTATTACGCCAATAACCACGAACTTCTCATTCGTCATCATTCTTTCCATATTCCACGTCGAGACCTTCGTTGAAAGTTTGTTAATGGCCTCCATACCTAGGTACGTTATAACCGACCCCCTTTACTTTGCATCATGTACGTGTTGTGATTGCATAACATTATAGGTTAACTTGCCTTGTCGCTTTCGAAGCTCTCTATTTTACTCAGCTGGGCCGAACACACCAAGTTTCCGCTCAACAATATTCCAGTGTCGGTGATCGTGAGACGCCCTTGGAAGCTGATCAAAGAACGAACGGGTTGGTCGTCTAGTGGTATGGTTCTCGTTTATGGTACACCCAGAAGCAAATGTGCGAGAGGGCCTAGGTTAATTCCGACAAGCCATTTTGATGACAGTTTAAAGCGCTCAATTTCTATATTCTCGATTGGTCTAGTGGTCAGGATACCTGCTTGTCATTCTCTTATGCAGAATTCGCAGGTGGCCGGGGTTCGATTCCCCGATCGAGAGTCAATTTTTAATTTTACTTATCGAAGCCTCGAACCGAGGCTTTTTGCTGTCTAATCGTTGTAGAGGTGGTGCAAGAAACCATTATCTTGGACTAGGGTTGATTAGGAGTTCCTATTAGCTACCCGGTGTAGGTCTCGGTGGTGCTGACCTTAGTGGCAGATAATGGAAAACTCGCTGCGTATGCTACCTTATTAACTTCAGGATGGGTGTTGTTAATCCGTATGAGAATGTTATATGCATACTTAAAGGGGGAACGTAACATTTCTCCCAAGTGCTGTCGCAACCCATGCACCCAGCGTCTCCCTCACAATGTTGTTGCTCGACCAGTTCCTAGACGGATGAACCCTGTTCGCAAGATGCACGAACAACGTATTGCTAGCTCGATTAATGACAACCGATGTCCCTGTGTACCCCGTGTGGCTAGCCGAGAGCAAATTGGCCATCGGACCAGCTGTATAGTACCGGTTCAGCTCGAACCCAACGCCGTGGTATGCCCCAGTGCCGAAACGCGCATTGAAATTCGTAAAGATAAGATCAACCGATTCCTGTGAGAGGATGCGGTTACCATCATAGGTTCCGTTGTTTAGGATCATTTGGCAGAAGCGTGCCGTGTCCAGAACTGTCGAGAAGAGCCCCGCGTGGCCCGAGACCCCGTCGAGACTCCATGCATTCTCGTCGTGGACGGTGCCTCGCACTGGCTGTGGCCGACGCGGCTCTGTTTTGCCGAGAATAGTTTCCTGAAATTCTTCAGTCGCCATTCGATTGTACAACGGAAACTTTGCGCCTTCGACGTTGCCGCGGTTGAAGAAGGTATCTTCCATCCCCATGATTGACGTGTATTCGTAGATAGCATCATCCAGCCGCTTGCCTGTCACCTTCTCGATCAAAAGCATCATAGCCATATAGTTTATATCTGAGTATAGGTAAGTCGACCCTGGCGCATTCTGGAGAGTTTCGTTAAGAATCTGTTGAACACGCGACTCGTAGGTCGGGTACTGAGGCATCCACAACCCAACTTTTGGATCTGCTGCAAAGCCGCTAGTGTGAGTCATGAGCTCTAAAATTGTGATGTTCTCTTTGCCATTTGCGCCAAATGCTGGGATATACGTGGTTACTGTGTTGTTGAGAGTGATCAAGCCCTTGTCGATGCAACGGAGGCTCGCTACAGTGGTGTAAAGTTTAGTTAAGCTGGCTATGTCGTAGATGGTATCAATAGTCGCATCCTCTCTCTCGCTTATTGGAAGTATTGTCCCTATTGAGCCATTGACAGCGGCCCAAAGATTCCTCTTCCCAAATGCGAAGTGGCTTACAATCACGCCGTTATGCGCAATGAGAGTTGTACCACCAGGCTCAATTGGGACGACCTGGTTAGACGTTTGTGCACCCCAGTTTCTCGCCTCCGTGAAGTGCGTGAGGTTGGCAACCATGTCCCCCAACGGTTTAGACAACATTCCCACGGATTCAGGGGTGCCGTACCGGAGGACATCCCGCTGGTAAGTGATCTCCGGTCGTGGAGATACTGCCTCGGCGACAATGGCGCCTGCGATATAAACGTGCCAAAAAATTGAAATCATTGCGAGTCGTATATCAATACAGTTTTTCTTTAGGCGATAGCTCGTTGAAGAGCAGCAACAACCGATATTCGGTCATATGACAACAGTGGGACTGGGTATGCAGATTTCCCGACTATCCTGATTTCTTGGTATAAGTTCTGCACGCTGTGCTAGTACGACAACAAAATACTTGCTTCGTAGTCGTAGGTCACGCGACAGCCATTCGCTCCATTCGGAAGGTGGGTAACGTTCAGTTTGATAAAGTGAGGGGAGTGTAATAAAGTAGATATAATCTATAATTAATAAGATTAATGCTTATACAGTAAGTAACCAATTCGATAGCAAATTGATCTCTACGCGCTGTCCCCTTCAACCCCAAACATCCTCAAGCCATTTATTTCCCCTCTTCATACTGTCACTCCATTCGCGAAGCTTAGCCTGATCCCATCCATTATGGGCTAGAAGTACATCCTGGACAGCTTTACTAACCTCTCTGGCCATCGATGCTCGCCCACAAACATACAAACTCGCGCCCCGGTCAAGTAACTCATGAAACTCCTTTGCGTTATCTCTAACGGTATCTTGCACATATTTTTTCTCCTGTCCTACGACCCTGGAGAAAGCATTGACAATTTTCAATACGCCGCCAAGTTCTACGCGAGCTTCTTCAAGCTCTTCATGGTACAGATAGTCTTCCTTCGGGTTTCGGCAGCCGAAGAACAACACCATTGCGCCTACCGGCTTTCCAATGCTCTTTAGCCGAGCGCGCTCCTGGATGAAGCCCCTGAACACAGCTATGCCTGTTCCTGCTGCGACCATGATAATGGGTGTGCTGGGTAGTGTCGGAAGCTTGAGCTTAGACTTCTTGATGGCAGCGTGGATCTTGTGACCTTCAAGTACCCCTGCGGGGCCAGCCAGCTGATATGAGGGCGAAATCTTTGTTTGTTGGAATGAGTTTGCGAGAGCCAGGAGGTAGTTGGTCGTCAGGCCCTTGATTTCTATTGATGGCTCTCCAGTAAGTGGTTTTCTCTCGACGCCGACTGTTATCGCGAGGCGTCGAGTGGAGATGACGGATGATGAGGCGATGGAGTAGTACCGGGGCTGCGTGGCGGGGAGAGTCTCTAGGAGGTAGGATAGAGGCAAGTCATTCCAGATGATCCCGGGAGCGGCTATAGAGAGCAAGCGGCTTATTGTGACGTAGTTCCTGCTTGTGAAAGCATGGTAAGCATCCTTATTCTTGCCGAGGGTTAGTAGTAAGTCCTTAGCATCGGGCGTTGGTGCGAACTGTGCGAGGTCTTTGACAGCATCCCTAGCTATAGGACCGCAGATATCAATATAGTACCTGAAGATGGCATCTATAGATGTAGGACTTGGGATACTTGATGGAGTACCTTCCTCAAGAGCTGAAATAAGCAGTGGAATAGATGCTTTTTCTGTCCAACCCAGCGAATTTAATAAACCATCGACTTCCCCGTCCGGCGCAATGGGGTACACGGCCAGATAGTCACCAGTCTTATATCTGACTTCCGAATGACTGCCAAGATCTAGCTCGAGGTGAACACAGTTTCGATTTGGTGTAGTGTATAGCTCACGTGCTTGAGTCACCGTCAAAGCTTGAATAGAGGACATCTTAAGCGATTTAGCCCTAGAGCCCTTGGATTGTTCGACAGGCACACCATGGTGAAGGTCAATGGGCTCCAAAGATGGATCTTCCCTCACTGCGAGAGCCGAGGTGTAAGTGATCTCACGCTCTTGGCAGCCCAGCCTCTCTCGAAACACTGCAAAGAGATCGGTTTTCCAAGCCAGGAAATCCTCCTCAGTTCCACCATTGGCATCGTCGGCCTTGCCGATCGGCATAAATGCTTTTGCGCGAGCTTTCTTTAGTGCGTCTGCAACAACGTCTACGACGCGGTTATAGTATTTGTAGTTCCTGTTTCCCAAGCCGAATGCGGTGTATTGGAGAGTTGGGAGAGAGACCCTCGAAGGGTCTTTACGTAACCACTCCCAAAGACCAGCCGCGTTGTCGCTCGGGTCACCTTCACCGAATGTAGACAGAATGAATATGGCAAGTTTAGCCTCAGGTATTTCGGAGATAGTCTCTGCGTCGTAGTCGGATAAATCGACGGCTATCGCATCCAACCCGTACCGAAAATGGCATTCTCGTGCTAATCTCTGCGCGAAAATCTCTGCAGTGCCCGATTGTGATCCCCAGAAGATCACGACTTTCTGGTTCTTGATGCTGTTAGTGACAGGAAAGTCTTCGTGCTTGATCAAGACACCTACTGCTTGTTCTAGTTTCTCTGCTATATTACGAGTTGCCGTTGGCCGGCTGCTTTGGAACCCATCATTAAATTGTGGACGCTCGAAAAAAATATTATAGTACGGGTCTGGCTTATTCCACGGAGTGCCCCCGAACAAGTATGCGACCGAGACAACACCGAGAACAACAAGGCTCGCTAGGTCTAAGACGCCGTGTGGTTTACTATGTTGGAGAAATGTAGATAAAGTCTCAGGATTTATGAGAGAAGCCATTTCTAAGATCCGCCAGTATCGTAAGGAATAAGCTAGGTGTAGACAAGTGAGAAAAGAAGCCGGCGCCCTAAATTATGTTTAGTACTTGTAAGAGAACATCCTAAAAACTAATGATAGTAGAAAAGTTCCTTTTCGTCGTCTTCATCGGGTTTGCCATCCATCCAGTAGCTGTAGGCAAGTCATCCCAATTTGGAGTCTTCGAGGATATTAGCGGCGCTTACTCCCCCACAATATTGGCGTTGAGAATTCCACTACCGCAACCTTCCCCAGAGTGCCGAGATAGGAAAATTTCCCTTTTTGGACAGCAACGTAAGAAGTAAACTGCTTTTTTTAAATCTTCCTGGAAACGTTTGGCTGAACAAAGCCGACAAGGAGGGGCAACATGCCACGTACCACAGCACATATCAATATCGATTGGATTCATTTCTGTTTACAGAAAATATGGATGAGCAATTTAATGAGGCAGCTGATACAGTCAGGTAAGGTAAGTTCTGAACGCCGTGTGTAATGGTGGTTGCAGACTTCAACTCCGATAAGGGGTTCAGGGGTCAACGTCTGTTGTATGAAAGGGTAGGTTATCTGTAGATGACATATAACTACATTAGGCTTCTTTTCTCGTGTTGGAATTTTCACTACATAGACTTCCAAGTTTCTTAACTTCGCTCCAAGCTGGTGACATATTCGCTTCAATCCTTACAAGAAACGAGTTTGTTTCTCGAGTCTTGATTAGAAGACCGTCACAATGTACGCGGCAGGACTCGCTTTATCGTCCTTTTCATTTCTTTTCGTCTATTTCATAATTATCCCAGTCTTAAATTATGTCAGAGACCCGAAACAACTCCGTAGGTTCCCGGCATATCGGCCCTTCGCTGGCTTGACCAACCTGGTCTTCATGTACGAATCCTCTAAGGAGAA